TCGAATTGAGTAACCTCCTCCTTTTTCGAAGTCGGTTAAAAAGAGAAATCGATTACCCCTGTTGCGAGGAGAATGATACGTAATTAAGATAGCGCTTCCGGAAACTTTATCGCAAACTTAAGGAGCACATCAGTTCTCTAGTAATTCGACCTCGATTACGATGATATTCATTAACTTTGTCGTAAGTTGCGGTTTACAACTCAAATAGCACGAAACTGCTGCTCCACTTTCGGTTCTTGTCTCTTTTCTCTTTTTCGACGCTAATAGTTTCATTTTATTCTCTCCTTTTAAGAAACTACCGTTCTTTCTTTTTAACCATATACTTGGTTGCAGAAATTTATGATCGTTTAAAATATTCAATAGTGCGCAGTCACTGGGTCGATGTACAGAAGATTGGAGAAAATTTTGAGGAAGAAAGTTTGGAACGAAGTAAATTAACACTTTGGTTGAAGAGTATAATTTGACAAGTTGAAAGTTGGGTAATTCAACATGTTGACAACTTGACAGTTTTCCAATTCGATAAGTTTGGCAATGAGAAGATAAAATTAGAAATTTAAAAATGTAACAAATGAAAAAATCACGAGTATCGATTTTGCACTGTTTTCCTAATTAGATTCTATTCCGTTTAAAAAACAGAAATCGTATTTCATTTGTTTTCATTTTGCAACAGCAATTTTTTCAACACCCCATATATTCTGGTGCAACACGCAACGTGTTACAAATGATTTATCGTATGTGATTGTTTTGTAACATCAGACAAGTTTACGGCACACGATAGCACTATACTTTCACCTTTATTGCCATTTTAAAGTGGTTTGTTCACATCAATCGACCAGTTCGACGCGCGAATCATTCTTCACACCGTTTCTTGCGTCTTCTGTTTTTTTTTCCTGACTTTTAAACACGCGGAACAGAAAACAATCACACGCTGCTGAGTCAGAAGCTAATTTCGACGCAACCAAGTATAATCAGGTTGTGTAATTGATTCACGAATCACAGTTTCCGGAAGAAAAGCTGGTTGAATGTTGATTCTGTGTCGTAATTGCGTTACGATGTTAACATCCGTGTGTATTCAAACAGTCGCGAATGTGTGGAAATTGTTTGACCGTAATTCGACAAATGCATAACACCTGTTAATGAAACGGTATTCGCGGTTATTCACGCGGTTGGCGCCGTTTTGAGGATATTTGTGAAAAGTTACGCAGTTACAGTTAAAGATAAGTTTCCAAATTTTCAAATTCCAATTTCAAAATTTTCGAATTTTCAAATTCTCAAATTCCAGTTTCCAAAATTTCAAAATTTCGAATTCCAAAATTCCAAATTCCAAGATTTCAAATTCCAAAATTTGGAATTCCAAGATTTCAAATTCCAAAATTTGGAATTCCAAGGTTTCAAATTCCAAAATTTGGAATTCCAAAATTCCAAAATCCAAAATTTGAAATTCCAAAACTCCAAAATTCCAAAATTTGGAATTCCAAGATTTCAAATTCTAAAATTTGAAATTCCTAAACTCCAAAATTCCAAAATTTGGAATTCCAAGATTTCAAATTCTAAAATTTGAAATTCCTAAACTCCAAAATTCCAAAATTTGGAATTCCAAGATTTCAAATTCTAAAATTTGAAATTCCTAAACTCCAAAATTCCAAAATTTGGAATTCCAAGATTTCAAATTCTAAAATTTGAAATTCCTAAACTCCAAAATTCCAAAATTTGGAATTCCAAGATTTCAAATTCTAAAATTTGAAATTCCTAAACTCCAAAATTCCAAAATTTGGAATTCCAAGATTTCAAATTCTAAAATTTGAAATTCCTAAACTCCAAAATTCCAAAATTTGGAATTCCAAGATTTCAAATTCTAAAATTTGAAATTCCTAAACTCCAAAATTCCAAAATTTGGAATTCCAAGATTTCAAATTCTAAAATTTGAAATTCCTAAACTCCAAAATTCCAAAATTTGGAATTCCAAGATTTCAAATTCTAAAATTTGAAATTCCTAAACTCCAAAATTCCAAAATTTGGAATTCCAAGATTTCAAATTCCAAAATTTAAAAATCCCAAATTTCTAATACTAAAATTTCAAACTCTAAAGTTTCAGAATTCCAGATTTTCAATATTCTATAATTTTAAATTCCAAAATTTAAAAATCCCAAAATTTAAAAATCCCACGTTCACTGTTCCAAAAGTTCAATGTCCCAAAACTCCAAAAGTACTAAAATTCCTCCCCATTTCAAAAATAAACATCCCACAATAAAGACCATAAAATAAAAATGCCTAAAGAATGCTCAATAAAGCCACTGTCATCAAAGTACATAAAAGCACGTACAGCCTATACATAGTACGTATAACGTCGATTCTAACGAAGAGCACATTGAATTCCAAATTTCCAAAATCCAAAATTTCGAATTTCAAAATTCCAAATTCTCAAATTTCGAATTCCAAATTTCCAAAATCCAAAATTTTGAATTCCAAAATTCCAAATTCTAAAATTTCGAATTCCAAAATTCCAAATTTCAAAATTTCGAATTCCAAATTTCCAGAATCCAAAATTTCGAATTCCAAATTTTCAAAATCCAAAATTTCGAATTCCAAATTTCCAAAATCCAAAATTTTGAATTCCATAATTCCGAATTTCAAATTTCCAGAATCCAAAATTTCGAATTCCAAATTTTCGAAATCCAAAATTTCGAATTTCAAAATTCCAAATTCTAAAATTTCGAATTCCAAATTTCCAGAATCCAAAATTTCGAATTTCAAAATTCCAAATTCTCAAATTTCGAATTCCAAATTTCCAAAATCCAAAATTTCGAATTCCAAAATTCCAAATTCCTTAATTTCGAATTCCAAATTTTCAAATTCCATAATTCCAAAGTCACTGTATTCCAAAGCACGTGTGATTATAAAAGCATACATAAATTCAATATCTTCGATAAATGTACACATTTGTAACGTATTACGTTATAGTACATAATATCGATACCAGTATAATCATGCTTGCATTCATATAAACTCGTATAAGGAAACAGTAACTCGTTTCCCGTTTAATTTCTCGCACCTGTCCATGACATAAAATGCCATAAGTATAGGTGACCAGTTATACGTGTACCCTAGTTGATTTGTTTGATCGCTTGTTATATTTGTCATTTGAAACCATTCGTGAAAGAAAGTCGATGAAACCATAAGTTAATGTGTTACAAGATCCGACCCAATTCTGAGTCTGGAATTCAGCCAGTACAGCTATTTTGCAATGCAAATTACGATCGATTATCCCTAACAACGTAATGTTTTCACGAGACATTGAAAAGTACGATGATGGATCATCGAGGGACACGTGAAGTTTCAAGTATCAAGCGAGGTCATTGGTAAATTGTGTCTTTGAATTATTGAACAAATTAACACATTCGTAACTGTGTTCCATATTTTGGACGTAATTTAACTTTGCAGGTAATATGAAATGTTGCCAAGTGCTAGACATGGAGGACTTATAGAAACGATAATAAGATATGTTGATTTTTATAATAATTTTTGTGTTGTAAATTTTGTTTAATATGTGTTATATCTTGGAACTTAGCTAATTTGGATTTGAAAATATTAAATTTCACATTTTCAAAATTTGGCAATTTCGAGTTTAGAAGTTTTGAAATTGGAAATTTCACATTTTCAACTTTAGCAAAATTGAAATTAAAAATTTCAAATTTTTAACTTTAGCAATTTCGAATTTACAAATTTTCAATTTTTCATATTTTATAAAATATATATTATATTACATATTCATAAATACGTGTACATAAAATTTTATATTATTATATAATTATAAAATATATTTTAACAACTATACAAAAATGAATAGTAACAGTACACGTGCGAATAGCTCAAATCTAAATTTGATTTCATATAATCTTCGAAAGAGGTACATAGCTATTTTTAAAACAGGTACGAATGTTCTCGTTTCGAGCCATCTACCAGCGCGAGCAAAGCCAAGGAATCCATTAAAATATCTTTAACAGAAAGCAAGCGAAACAAAACCAAACAAGCATCGCCTAATGATCATAATCGTCACTCGATACTGATAAGCTAACTCGTTTATCAACGATACTAAACGCAATCGCACGGTATTAAAATTTTTTTCTCCTTTTATCGCCAATATTTCATCGTATCGAATGAGAGGCTTCGTATCAATTAACTATAATCCAATGCACGAATGGGCGTAATCGAAAACGAATAAAAAGTGAAACGTATGGAGCAATTTGATAAAGAGGGAGAAATAAAAATGGAAGAAGTTGAATGTTCCATCGTTACTTTCACGAGAAAAAGAAAATCGTTCTCATGAATATGCAGTTTGTTTCAAACTCCGAAATCATCACGCTCGTTTTCTAAAATCTTCTTGAGAAGACACGTTATACAATTTATACAGATGAGATATGAAATATATTAATTTTATTTAATGTTTATACATTACAGAATTTACATAAAATTAGTTTATACAAAATTTAAATAAAATTAGTTTATACAAAATTTAAATAAAATTAGTTTATACAAAATTTAAATAAAATTAGTTAAAATTATTTATTAAAAGTATATTCGAATAATTCATTAATGTACATAAAATTAATAAAAATAGTGGAGAAATATATGAGGGTTTATATTATGCGCCATAGTATAGTGGAGTCTCGCTATATGGCCATATGCGGTACAGTACATTTTGATTTATAACTCGATACGAATGTTATCATTGAAATAATACAATCTGATTAATCTAAGCTTGATAAATTCCTTTAGAGCTTTATAGCATGATTAAGTACCTATTACTTTGCTGACATAACATACTTTGCTCCGACAACAAAACCGAGATTTAAATTGACACAATGAAGTATCATGCGATGATAGGGAGATCGCTGCACTCACACACGTGGAACAAAATGAAGAGGGACTAAAGGGAAATCGTTAGTTAACCCTCGAACAGTGAATACCGGGTCATTAAGACCCCTCCGGTGTGCCTTGTAAAATTTTTAAACGCTAAAATTTCCACATCCCTAGAAAAGAAACCCTATATTTTTATATGGTTTTATATTTTTTAGGGTTTCTGTAAATTTATATATTTCTATTTTTATGCAATAAAATGAGAATAAACGTGAATAAAGATTTCTTTAGATGAATTATGTTTTTATCTCCGTCGATAAACTTCAGGTACCTGGTATATTGCAGTCAGGAAAAAGGATACTCATTATCGATTTCGTCACAATCGCAGCAACGAACAGGGCGAATAACCGCGGCACAATTTCATCATAGACTTCCGTGAGATTGCTAGTCACCGTTTAAGAATTCGAACGTTTGAACAGCCGTTTAGTTGGCGAAAATTAATCCTAATCCTATCGCCATGTCAAACATTTTAATGATATGCAAACATTCGAATCAAACAGTAAATGTAAGTAGGCAAATATTTGAGTTTGGAACGCAAGGATATTCAGAATCAAAGATGTCCTGATTAATTTCTTTCCCGATGTTTACGAAAGGGACGAGACCTAAAGGACGCGTGTAATATGTATTCCAAGACCATTATTTTCAGCTGCCCCCTATTCTGAACACCCACATTGTGAACAATGGATAGAGGGAACTCGAAGAAAGAAACTGGAGTGGGCTTTGTATTTTATGTACTGTGAGAACTGTTTAAAAATGCTGCTACCGTTGGCAACCTGGCACGAACAAAATTTGATTAAACATTTTATTACAGAATATTGTGCTATAAATTTTATAATGGTATATAATTAAATTTAGTTGTAAACCTTGTACTACATGTAATTTGTCAAATCGATGAAACCAGAATAGTTCGAACATTTAAGAATTATCTGACCGCGTCATCTAACGTGATTATCGTAATGAGTTTTCTCAAATATTTCTTATGCAATAGTCACGCTATTCGTATTCTTAGAAACGCCTGAAATTTTCGTTAAAATAATATATGTTACAAGAATTTGAAATACGGTAGTTTTTACGGGTATACTATTACAAAAATATTTATCTCGCGAAAGAATTCAAGCGACGCCAACGCGTGTATCTGTTTCATTGACATTTACTTTCGCCATCGATTTACCGGCAATATCGGCCAATGTGACAGTGTCAACGTATTCGAATACACTTTATTTACGTTCCGACTAAAACTGAAGCGATTATGTTCCAGGAAGTGATCGGGACGCAAGAATGACTTCAAATGACTATAGCTGGTGTCATCGACGCCGAGTGAAAGTGCTATGTATGTTCCATATTACGGTATAACCTTGAAGATGACGACCGTGATAAATAACCTCTTACGGTGTATCGATTTTTCCTTTCTTACAAGCATCTGCCGCTTCTTGCGAATCCTTACATTCTGCTTCATTTTATCTCGCACGTTTGCTTACATTAACCTGTACAGTATACCACAAACTCTGCTTTGCAAAATTTTCGTAGAAATAAATGTTGCAAATTCTAATACAGAGTTATGAAATTCGCGTCAAAAACTAGTTGGGAGATATCAGTGATCCCACTCTACATGTTTCAGAAATAGGCTGTGTACTCTGAAGGTTAACCCTTGAAACAACTATGTCAAGTTTAGTGCTGTTTACTATTTTATTCCATGCTTTATGACAACTGAGATTAAACGGTAACTAAAAATATATTTTATTTGGTATTTTAGTTATTCTATCTTGACTAACAAGTTATGGGTGAAATGTTGACATGGTCCTTTCAAATAATAAATTATTGACAGCACACTGTTTAATGAACTTTGATAAAGGCTCTAATTGCCTCTGTTATTCGTAGTACATTAAACAGGTACTTGTTACAGTCGTAATAATAAGGAAGGTACTCACTGTAATTCGCGACGATCACCTTTGAAGTCTTCTGGAATGAGAGTATGCGTGACCTTGTTGATCTTTCTGGGCAAGAGTTTATTTACGTTGAACTTGAACTCCATCTCGACAACGATTTTTCACCGCCGATTTCCACGCGTAAACGCGTTTAGCAACCGGCCCTTAACCTTACAGTTTTTTTTCGAAACTGTCTCGGACGATTGTCCTGAATATGGCGGTCAATGGCATCCACCGGGACAACTTCACTGCGCGTTTTCCGGGGGGAAATTACGATGTTTTATTCCGTTTCACGAGCCACAACAAACTGTTGTGTGCTTAATCATCTAACGTCACGATTGTTTGCTTGTCACGTTCGCTGTCATACGAATTCCCTTACTGTCGCGTGCTTTTACGATGGTTTCTATTTTCGTTTCTCGTTGTCACCGTCTCGTGCTGCTCGTACGGTTTACTCACTACGCCAAAATCTGCCTATCCGTTTCCAATAACTGGTTAACAATCGACGTTTTCAACGCGAACATGAGTGCATAGACGAGGTACACTGCTCTTCGAATCGATTAACTCTCTACGATGTGACTCACTTCGCGGCTCGTGGCCGACTAATATCCATAGTTGCTATGACGTCGGTTTTTACTATTACGGTATGTTGTGAGAGAAGTTAGGAGTCGTATCTTTGTTAATTTGACAGCTAACCGATGCGGCTTCGAAGCACATCGAAATTGTCGTGAACTTCATAAAATCGATGGTCTTGATGAACGGTAATAGACGAAGATGCTTAGTGATGCCGTTGAGAGAAATTTAATAATGACACTAAGTTTCACCTGCCGAATCGCTTGAAGTCTCACAGTTTACTGGCGAGCGGTACGTTCAATTTTTTCCTTAAAGCCGCGAGTCGCGCCGAGATGCGCGCGCATCCATGAGCCGCGAAGCGTGACGTCTCACTGCGCATGTGTCGCAGTTCTCTTTTCGAAATGAAATTCTAATCATTTTTCTGAGATAACATTATGCACGATTAACATCTATATTATTGTAGAATTAAGAAATATAAAATGTATCAAACTCTTGGGCTGCATTACTTAGTTGTGCAACCGTATCGTGTTTATTAAATTAGTATCTACTTCAAAATGACTAATGATTGCAACATCTTTATTCGAAGCAATGTGTTTATTATGTGAAAATTCATTTAATACTCTTAATCTTTTTGTTATCTGTCATGTTATTAAGTGTATGAGATATTTGCTACCTATCAGTATTAAGTAGTACAACATTTGCTTCTTAACTGACTAATTTGTAGAGTAATTAAGAAGAGTCATAATACTAAGAAAGGATTGATTTCATTAGCTGATAATATGATGTAATCCTTATTTTTAAATGTTTGTAATTTCGTATTATTGCGCGCTTTGGAAGTAGTACCACCAACGCTATCTGACAGGATATAACAGAACTAATAAAATGTAAAAGTTCTTTTTTTATAAAATAAACTACTGTTTATTGGTGTTGATGTATCATTCTATCGTCTGAAATAATGTTATTCTAATTATTTTAGTTTGGTAAAATAAGAAATATTTAAGTGATTTTATTATGATCACATAATGTTCTGTAAATGATTGTACCAGCGCCATTTGACTTTAAAATTCTGTACTTGGGAACTAAACTGCAGGTGTATTATCGACAATGCTTAGTCGGTATTGTATTTGAATGTTTTAATATTTTTACTTTTATGGAATGGTATGAAACTATGTGAATTAAATTTTAAATCATTTATTTAAAATATATAACTAAAATAGTGATATAAATATCAGTAACATTTTCAAGTATATTAATGAATTTTTAAAATAATAACAGGGTAAGAAGATATAAAAATCAAACAAATTTCTTGAATATCTATATACATTAATGCACATATAAAAATGTAAATTTTGAATAGTAAAGTGGTTGTCCTTGAATGTCTATAAAATTTCTATTAAAATTTAGTTGAAAATTTGAAAGCTAGTCGAATAATATTTAAATCTAATTTCATACTCCAAGTGTCTGCAACCATATTTAGTTAATAGCGTAAAATGTATATTTTATTTTGATCGTCTCATCGAATCAAATAATTTGATTTTATGTCGTAAAATATTCCATTAGTTTCCATAACAGGTACATCAACACTGGTCAATCAAGGTGAGATCTCACGTAAAAATTTACGCGCACACTCATGGTGAGGGACATGGTGTTATGGGATAACTGATTGGCAAAGATGATGTCATAAAGTAAATGTACTTAGAAGCCAAGGTACTGTGTTAGCTTAATAGAAAAGTGGTGTATGTTAATTTTTAAGATTAACAAAAACCATTTGTATTACTTACTAAATATAGTAAGTAATATAAATACATCAAAGAGTATTTCCCAATTAAAATTATTTACCTAAGATTATTGACTTCCTAACGACCATAAGGGCTCCTTGTTCCAATTTCCTCGATTACCAAACGCTGCAAAAACAATTAGGTACTGCAGGGGTTAATTTTCAATAATTATTTATTGAATATTGCGAACATGATGTTTCTGTCGTTCTCAGTTAACTTAATGAATAAATCGATGACGTTTTACAGGAATTACCGTACCATTTGCAATAAAATAAATGCGGTAAATGCAAATTGCAAGAATAATACAATAGAATAGTTGGCAAGCTTCCAAGCTAAATTGCAAGACCGCTGACTGGCACTGTAATGTACATGCACAGCAATTAATTGTATTCGACAGCCGGTTTGCATACGACAAAGCTCGTAAAAGGAAAAGAATTTTAAAGTAAACAAACGTAATGGCTTTTGTAAACTTAATTCAAGGTTTTTCTATTTCACCCAAACTCGGACGATTTCGACAAAAATTCTAACACTAAAACGTTCAACAGAAACAATTTTAATTACAAAATCTTTCATTGAAAGATTTAACATTGCCAGTGTGAACTTTTTACACAGAAATAATTTTAATATCAGTGAAACACGTGGAGCACTCAATATCGCAATGTTTTCAAACGTGCTGAAGATGAAAAAGAATTTTACGATTCATACCGAAGTTCATTGCGTAACGATAAACAAAAGTGTTTGCGCGATTATTAACGAAAGCAGTGTGATAAGTTATTCAATGGGCAAACTTTTTCGAGGTTCTTTTCCCCCGACCCTGACGAGAAGGATGCGCGTTAAACATCATCTTTGGTGATCGCCTCCCAGAAGCTGAGCGGGAAAGATATTTTATAAAGCACGCCTGCACATATCGACGTTACGTGATTTGCTTCTGAATTGCTTGTTAATACACCTGCTAAGACACCTCGTATTCCATTACACCTATATAAACTACTACTAGCCATTGGCGAGGGTTTAGTTGAACGATCACTTTAATCGCGAGCACGAGGTGTTTGTCCCATTTTGTGCCTCCACGGGCTATGGTATTCCTATGGTGTTGATAAAGGTGAGACGTCATTGGTGTTTTTAGGACTTTTTTTATTAGGACTAGTTTAGGACCTCGTTAAATTTTATGTCCACTTATACAGCTACTTCGTAATTAATAGTCGTTGAAAAAATTATTTAAAATGTAGGAAACATTGTGACAATTTTTTAATTTATTTTAAATAAAGGCAACATAGGTTTCAACCACTTGCACAGCTACTTCGTAATTAATAGTCGTTGAAAAAATTATTTAAAATGTAGAAAAAAACAGTGACAATTTTTCAATTTATTTTAAATAAAGACAACATAGATATTAGATGATGCGGTCTTGTGAGTGTAAATTTATGCAAATGCAATTTTAACAGGGTTACGTTATCATTTACTTTATTATGAAAAATTCTTGAACGACGAAAAAATATATTTTACAAGTTTGGTATATTAAAAGAAAATGTCCTAATATGAGTAGGATTAATTCACAATAGTGTATTTTTAAGATGGTGTTGCTCAGATACACTATATTTTAATACAGTAACTATTAGGAGAAGTGAATTGAATTAATTACTATGTTCCATTAAGATCAAATTATTCCTATGATTTATCAAGTTGCAAACAAATAAAAAAGAAGTTACAAAGACCATTACACGCAATATTCAAAAATCAAATACTGCATAAAACATAGCTAAACAAAGTTTTGAATTTCGATTAGAAGACCTTCAATTACAATTCGGTACACCGAGGTTTTACTGAAAGTGTTTGCCATCGACAGGGAATAATTATTTCTGAAACGTTCAAGCGTTTTCTTTCAATATTAGGCGCGAAACGTGTTGAATAAAAATCTCGTGACTTTGTGCAAAAATGATAAGTAGCGATCGCTGTACCAACAGACAATGTTAGTAAATGATAAAATATACATACGTCAATTAAAGAGAAAAATATCCTTTGGGGATGATTTACGTGACTGTTGCATGATGTGACGTGTTCTGAGTATATCATGGACTTTGTGCAAATCTTGAGTGGTCCAGAAGGATCTGGTGGGAGCGAACGTTTAAATAGCTTGAATCTCTATGGGTGCGCGTGAGTTCAATGTTACGGCTCTAAAATTTTCGTCCACGGTGTTATTCAGTGTTTTAACGTACGGGAAGTATGGTTGTCACAACGCAACAAATAGTAAGTGACGTTTCTTGATCGATCGAATATTGGTGGCGTGATTTTTGCATGAAACGTTTATGAAAAGATGTGTGCAAATTTTAACTAAATTACTCTCTTAAATCTTGCTTCGATTGTTATAATCTTCGGTCTCATTATCGTTGTAAATTTCGTTTGAGGAAGCACGCGGAGAAACATTATTATTCCATCCGCATACTGATACATGAATGGCACGTCCCAATAAATCAATTAATTGGAGATACAACTTGAATAATCAATGACTAGGGGGTGATCCTTGTAAAGCTAAACAATGTAGCTCCTACAATATTTCTTATGAAGTTTTATTTTAAAAATGGTACATCAGTGAGATATCTTGTTATTTTCGTTTACTATTTAAAGAAGATTTTAACACATTTTGTACGAAAAGTGCTTCTACTGGAAAAACTTGTACACAGTTGTACCCACTGCGTGTGCTAACGTGTTAATTTGTTTTAGCCGATTCGAACACGAAATAATTAACCGAAGCGTGATAACAGAAGTGATGGCCGTTGTGGAAAAAGATTTCTCTAGAAAAGTCGTGAAAGTAATTGTCTGTGTTACTTGAGAATCAATCTTGATTCGAGTGAACAAATCTGAATAAGATTTGTAAAATTTTTATTTGAATAATATGTTTTATTTGGATAGAAATTGACTGCAGCTTACTGGAAATTTTTTGATAGAAGTTTGTTAATGTAAATTATTTCCAACAGTGGGACCAGACACCAGGTGGGGTGTGGACTTACCTCGTTATTTTGGCCAGCATTTACATTTTGTATATTCTGAAGAGTTATATCAGAACCGTCATATTTGTGTCTCGTTTGGACGGACCGAAAACTGTGCCTTTTCTCGGAAATGCCAGATGCGTTCTCAAAGATAATCGTATGTAGTCGAATATTTACAAAAAATATTCTAATGATATTGTCATCAAGGTATCATGTTATAAAATCTACAATAATGCTATAATGTTATAATGAAATAATTATTATGTACAAAAATTATCTTAGAAAAAGCCTCATACATAAATTAATTTCTTATACATACAATTAAATATCATATATTATAGAATATATTAAATACAATAAATTAAAGTATACTTATATAACTCATAATTTATACTCTAACTGTTTGATCAAGTGATTCACAGAAGCTATGAGATTGTAGCCATCACTAGCATGGAATTAAATTGTCCTTGATATGATTTAAACGTGACATGTTATTTCAGTGCTCTACAGATTGGCCCACGAAAATCAAATGTACGGACGCATCGTCAGGATATGGCTGACAGGATTGCCATACGTAATACTGGTCGAACCGGAAGACATCCAAATAGTCCTCGGCAGTATGAAGCACACACGCAAGATATTCTTCTATAAACTACTAGACAATTTCCTCGGGAAAGGCTTGATCACCAGGGACGTGGATACCTGGAGAACCCACCGGAAATTCTTGCAGCCCGCTTTTCATCTCCATATTCTCGAGAGATTTACGAGTAGCTTCGCTGAATGCGCAGACTGCTTGATGAACGAGTTCCTGAAGCAGGATCGTCAAGAAATAAACATCACCTCTTTCATCAATGATTCCGTGTATGATATCTTGAGTGGTAAGTGCACTATACAACTGAAATCGTGTCTCGGTGTATGTTTTCTTTGGAATTTGGTATTCGGATTCTTGGAGTCAGGAAATTAGACATCTTCCAGTTTCCTAGCTTAGAAATTTTAAATTTGTGAATTTGAAAATTTTTAATTTATCAATGTAGATATTTTAAATTTATTAATTTAGAAATCTTAAATTTGTTAATTTAGAAATTTTTATTTTATTAATGTAGATGTTTTAAATTTATTAATTTAGAAATTTTTAATTTGTTAACGAAGATATTGCAAATTTATTAATGTAGAAATCTTAAATTTGTTAATTTAGAAATTTTTAATTTATTAATGTAGATGTTTTAAATTTATTAATTTAGAAATCTTAAATTTGTTAATTTAAAAATCTCAAATTTATTAATGTAGAAATCTCAAATTTATTAATGCAAAAATCTTAAATTTGTCAATGTAAAAATTTCAAAGATATTAACCCAGATATTATAAATAAATTAATTCACAAATTTAAGCACTCAGAAATGTAAAGACTTATAAACTCAAAGACCTAAAAATTAAAAAATGTAAATATGCCTATGAACAGAAGATTCAAATTACAATCACGTTTCAAATTGTTCACCTTGTAATTTTTTTCATATTTTTCTTTATTTGCGAATTGGTCATTAGGTTGCAAAACGCACTTGTTCGGAAAAGGGGTAACACTAACGTTGTTTGCACATCATTTGATTTTCTAAAATGCACATAAATGCACTTTGCGTATGAGTATAAATGTCAACATTTTAACGTGATATTTTGCAATTCTTTTGTGAGAACATCAAACTATCATGAGTGGTCCGTGGAAGCACGTTTCATTATATCTACATCTTGCAACAGCTTCTTTTGAAATTTCAAAGTAAATTAAAATACGTCATTCTTATGCTTATGACGTATGACATATCATCTCTATTAATACTAACAAGTACTAGATGTAGGGATACAAAAATTCAGAGACATGGGAATGCAAGAATTTAAATATACACGTATGTCTGTCGCCTCACGTTTTCATATGTAACATAAATTTAAATTTAGCATGTACAATAACTTATATGTAACTTATGTGCAACATATGTAACATTTGTGGAAACTCGTCATGTACCAATTATTCCATTGTTGAATCAGTGGCATAGTACCGAGATTCGTATCGTGATAAGAAGTACATAATTTGTTATGCACTGCATCACGTTGAAAACTATTCGAGACGTACATGTTAAACCGTTTCATCGAACTGTCTTTCTTCTAATCTCAATTAGCATTTGAAATGAACTTTTGTGGAACGTTATAAAATTACAACGCAGAAATTTTCGTCGATGATGACGTACTGCGCATGTATTTTTGATGGTACGCACGGTTTCCAGCAACCGATGAATATTGTTTGAAGTAATCATTTACTGTTTGCAGAAACTGTTTTGGGCATCAACCGACGGTCTGGCTTAGCATCGGACGACGATTTACCTTTCAGAAAGTGAGAATTTTTATCCTTCCTTCGAAATTGGGAGAGAATTATTATGGGGCAAATGTTTGTGACATGTATAGACAGTGTATCACTACCTGTTATACTATCACACGTCATATCGTTAAGACTTACATTATCTATGCATTCATGTATTAACATTTAGTGAGTTATACAGCTACATATCACTCGCACTTGCCAAAGCAGTAAAATTAAGCTAAACAAGATAGGTACAATTTCAATTAGGCAAATAATCTAGTTTTATTTTACTTCCAATAATACGTGGACGTCGGTCAAACAGTAAACATTGAAATTTCATTTTCAGAGGACAAATAATGCTACTATACCGCATGGTGAGACCCTGGCTGTTAATCGAATGGATCTACCGACTGACAAAACACGGAAGGCAAGAAGAAAAGCAACGAAAGGACTTGTTCGACACCTGCTTCAAAATGATGAAGGAGAAACGTGACGTCCTACGAAATAAGGATGCTACCACGAACGTCACGAATACCAAAAAGATCTCTTTGCTCGAGTACATGGTTGAAATGAACGAAAAGAATCCTTGCTTCACAGACGAGGACATCGTTGAGGAGTGTTGTACGTTCATGTTGGCTGGACAGGATTCGGTTGGTACCGCGACCGCAATGACGATATTCCTTTTGGCAAACCACCCTGAATGGCAAGAGAAATGTTTGGAGGAGGTCGATAATATTTTTGATGGGGACTCGAGGCCGCCTACGATGAAGGACCTGAGAGAAATGAGGTGCTTGGAGATGTGTATTAAAGAAGCTCTTCGACTGTATCCTAGCGTGCCGATTATAGCGAGGATACTTGGAGAGGATGTCAAGATTGGTACGTTCTTACTACTGATAAATACTACTGAAAATATACTCCACTTCTGATGTAAAATATAATGATTTGTAGTTGTTAGCATTATGACATAATAATGGCTATTGATGTTATGAACGGTTCTTACTTCTATTAAGGAAGGTTGATTTATAGTGCAGTCATATTAATTTTATTTGTATTGTTTAGGGAAACACGTAGTACCAGCTGGTTGTGGTGTGTTCATATCACCCTACAGCACCCATAGGTTGGCTCATCATTTTCCAGATCCTGAAGCATTCAAACCTGAACGATTCAGTCCAGAAAACTCAGAGAAGAGGCATCCTTACGCTTACATACCTTTCAGTGCTGGGCCAAGAAATTGCATCGGTAAATTAATTTTTAAGACCAAAGTCTAAGACTGCAGATATTGCTTCCGATGATGTGGTATTTCTCAACATTTGTTTTTATTGCAATCTCCTTTTGTAGTGTTTAAACAACTTAAGATCTACTTCTAACTTATCTTAGCTTCTTTCTTCTCACTGTGTTCATGTGACATGAAAATAAATGAGGAGAATAACATAAGTAAAGAGTAAAATTCGTATTCGTAAAATTAGCTTCAGTAAACGTCTGCTGACAAAATTGTCTGAACAGCTTCTGACAAAATTGACATGGTTGATCAAATATTTTTCAGGCTACAAATTCGCGATGCTGGAAATGAAATGTATGGTCAGCGCAATTCTCAGGAAATGTCGATTGGAGTCTATTCCCGGCAAACAGGAGGTGAGACCAAAATTCAGGATGACAATCAGAGCGCAAGGAGGACTCTGGGTGAAAGTGGTAGCACGAGATAAAAAATTGAATACTGTAGTAACTTAGCTTAATTTAATATTGACGATAAGAAGTTTTTGCTCAGATTACGTGTAAATTATTGCTCTTTGTACCACTTCGAGTGTATAATAATCGTGAGTCTTCGATTTTTCCATTTTTAAAACGTACCTTGTATGCTAGTTTCGTTCAACGAAAAGTCGACGAATTTTTAAATAGTACCTTATAAAATAGTTATAATATACTTTGTAATGTGTATATAAAAAAATCATTTATATCTTTATTTCGTGGTTTGATAATAAAGAAACTTGTGAGTAAATATTTGAGTGAGCGTTGAATGTCTTGAAATTCTATGTCAGTATATATATGTAAAATTTGTAGAAAATTTATGCAAATAATATATTAACATCTTTTGAATATTTATAATGAAGACTACCTCATGTACTGAGCAGCGCAATTTGTAAAAATTTAATGCATATTTGTTTAATCCTTGTATTTTTTATAAAATTTTGTAACTTGTGATGAATTTCCATATTAAAGTGGCAAAAATAAATGTATTAAGAAGTCGATAACGTATGCTGATGTCGGTAATAAGACGTCGATAATTATGAATTTTAGATTATCGATTACTTACATTATGCCATTCGCTTTAATTTGGATTCGCAAATGTAAAATAAAATAATTTTAATATTCTCTTTTGTTTCTTGCTTCTTCGTGAATTTTTTTTCTGCATTGCACACGGATATAATATATCAAATTATTTAAGTGTTCCTTCCTAAGTCTTTCTTAATTATAAATATATAAAGTTTATTTAAAAGTTATAGGTGTTAATTTCTATTATTCAGTATTTATATTAATGATTTTATTTATTCGTTTAATACCCATATCATAATCCATTAACTTGAATAAATTAATATTGTATATTATAAGATTCTGTTATACTTTTACTCCTCCTTTTCTATTACTTTAATTTTCTTAATCATGGGACTTCGATAGACTTGAAGACTTCTTATATTTTTTATACATTTGGTATGCAAATTTTTATAGTCCTAATTGTATATTTTAATTGTGTATTTTAACAATAATTATTGATAGTTACCGACGTATTCGACTTTGTATCGAGATTGCAGCTTTAGATAAAGAAGAATTCCAAAACTACCATATCGATTGGGAGATTTACATCACAACGTGCTTGGTAGCTGAATTAAAAAGTGAAATTTGATATCTATCTGGTGTTTGAAACCCTCAAGAAATAATCGTAAATTAAACAATAACAATAAACAAATGGAATTAAAAAAGCAAAAATTATAATGTACCAACACGTAAAAGTTCAATAAATACGTCAGTAATGAAATGAACATTTATTAAAAAAAACTGGAATTAAAATAAAAAAAAATGTAGTTTTTATTTGTCCTTTAATATCACGTTAATTTTATTAATAAAAATGATTAACAAAAATTTTTTCATAGACCGAAAAAGCTAAGAAAATAATAAATTTTAATATTTATAATAATAATTTAGTTAATAACTAATCGAATAACTAAAAATTATAAGAAAATAAATTTCGATATAATAATCAACACACATTTTGTAAGGTGTATACACAAAAAACTTGTACAAACAGTAAATTTTTATAATTATAAAAAAAAATATAGTCGATAAATAAAAGAAAAATTAAAAAAATAATTGTTAATATAAAAGATATACTCTCACTCAAAAGAATTGCTCGCTATTGGTCCATTTACTGATTGTTGATTGGTCGTCGCGAATAGCCTATTAGCGCGAACTTGAAAGAGGTCGCATGTCTCAGTTTTATTGAAGCTGTCATGGAGGTCGGATGTCCCCTGTCAACACTTACCGGTGCGAGTCAAAGTCATACTTTACCTATTGTGTGTTCATCTACGTGTTACCTAAAGTATTAATACAAGTGTTTAGTGTGTTTTAACAAGTGTTTTTTAATAAATACGTGGGTGTATTAATACGATTTATGGTGTGATTTCTCATGTGTCAAAGTGTTTACCGGGATGTTTTAATTTATGATTGCGCATGTGTATACGAATGCATTAGTGTGTTTTATAGTGGTGTTATACAAGTATTTTAATATTATTTTTTAAATATTTTATCGGGTTTTATGGTGTTATTACCTGTGTTTTTACAAATTTTTGTGAACATTTAATGGGTTTTATGGTGTGGTTACCTACGTGTTTTAACATACCTGTCAAGTGTTTTAGTGTAATTTACTGCGTAGTTGTACAAGTGTTTTATCATTATTTTTTAAATATTATACTGGGTTTTATGGTGTTATTACCTGTGTTTTTACAAATTTTTGTGAACGTTTAATGAGTTTTATGGTGTGGTTACTTACGTGTTTTGACATGCTTGTGCAAGTGTTTGAATGTGATTTACTGCGTAGTTGTATAAGTGCTTTACCGCCATTTTTGAAATATTTTACCGGGTTTTATGGTGTATTACCTATGTATTTTTACAAATTCTTGTGGACGTTTAATGAGTTTTATGGTGTGGTTACCTACGTATTCTGACATGCTTGTGCAAGTGTTTTAATGTAATTTACTGCGTAGTTGTAGAAGTGTTTAATCGTTATTTTTCAAATATTTTACGGTGTTTTGTGGTGTTATTACCTATGCGTTTTTACAAATTTTTGTGAATGTTTTGTACGTTTTACGGTGTGGTTACCTATGTATTCCGGTATATTTTTGCAAACGTTTTAACATATTCCATAAGTAATTACCCAAGTATTTTGACATACATTCTCAAATGTTTTACAATATTTCACAGTGTGTTACTATTGATAAACGTTTGCAAATTTATAACCGATTTCTGTAATGTAGTTATTGTATTTCTGCATGTTAATCAAAATGCAAATCGTTAAACACAGTTAATTAATCGTTGTGTTCCTTTTATGATTACAGTGGTCAAACCAACTTCACGGACAAATCGCCAAATCCAAATCTGACGAAAGCAGCCAATCAATCAATCGATCAAGCAGCCAAGCAGTCAATCAATCAAGGAGCCAAGCAGTCAATCAGATGCTTTACCGGCGAAACGATCGCAGTAATGCAAGTCAGCGATCGGTGAGTCGCATGCTTTACGATTCCTCCGGTTCCCATCATGTCGTAGGACGAATGGTCCGAAGCGACACGGGAACTGGTTG